CACTTCTCACACACACACACACAAAAGCACGCACACACACACACACACACACACACACACACACACACACACACACACATTTACACACACACGCAAAAGCACGCACGCACACACAAACATACACACACACTCACTCACTCACTCACTCACTCTATTATACTTCTTTTGTTTTATGGATGGCTTGTGATGATTCGTGGATGGAATAAGAGAGAGAATTTGGGTTTTATTAAACACACACACACAAGCAAACAAGAAGGACAGGCAAACGGCTAAGGAAGATGAAGAGCGACACGAACCGTCGCGTGCTGCAGCAGACCTTCGTGACGACAGGGAGAATGCAGCAGCTGCTTTTTTTTCAATTACTAAGCTATATTCTTCTCTCAATTTCACCTTCCGCTATATACCTACCAGTACTTCTAAGCCTAGACAGGGCACCCCTGCAAGCATAGCTACCTCTCAAGCATGTTGCCCCCAGCCTAATCGGCGTTGGTCAGGGCGTAGGGGTGGGGCCACCGGTGAGGGGGGAAGGGGGGCAAGGGGGGGATGGGGTCAGCTAACACAAAGACCGAGTATTTTGCCAGTGGCTGCGCCTCCCATCTACTTCCCCCACCCCCCATCAAGTAGCAGCAGTGTTGGATATTGCCAACACTCTGCCATACACCACACACTCACGCTCACACTCACACCCGTGTTGGTATCAAGCGGACTATCACAGTCCGTTTGCACTAAATGGGTCACACTCACAGCCGTGTTGGTATCAAGCGCGTGGGGCTCGAACCCACGACCTCCTGAATGCCACTTGCGCTCCTAGCCCACTGAGGTAGGCCGCCGGATCAGCATTTTTTTTTATCCCAATTTCACCTCACACTACCTACCTACCTACCGCTACTCGTGTGTAGGCCGCAGGATCAGCATTTTTACTTATTTATTTATTTTTTTGGATCAGCTTTTTTTTTTTTTTTTTTTTTTTTTGGGGTGATCACAACTGTCTATATTCTTCTCTCAACTTCTGTTTTGTTTACCTTCCACTACCTACTCCTAAGACTATCTAGAGGAGACCCCTGCAAGCATAGTTTTCCTCTCTCTGTGAAGGGGAGATTTCATGTTGCCCCTTGCCCCTAATGGTTAGGGTATAGGGTTGGGGCCGCCAGTGGGGGTCTGGCTAACATAAAGACCGAGACCTGCCAGTAGCTGTGCCTCCCTTTCCCACCCTTCATGGAGTAGCAGCAGAGGCTATGGCCAACACTCTCCCACACACCACACACAACCCACTCGCGCTCACACTCACACCCGTGTTGGCCATAGACCCCGCTAATACCGATCAGGGGTATCCAGAGGACTATCACAGTCCGTTGGCACTAAGTGTGCCGTAGGCGGTAGGTACTTCAAATTCAAAATAATGGCGCCTCAATTCTGCAGGGCATAGCAAAAAGATGCCGGCCTGGGGCCAAGTCCCACTAGCAGCGTTGAGCCACCTCAACGCCTGAATCTGAAGGTGTTTGTGGAGACGTGCAGTTCAGGAAACTCAACACCGTTTCTGCACATCTCAGCAAAAACGTCCAGATTCGGGCGTAGAGGTAGCTCAACGCAGCTACCGTCTTCACCCGAATAGAACGCCCGGTAAATTATGGCCATATCTGGACTGAAAAATGCATCAAATACGGCTATAATGACCGGGCTTTCTATTCGGGTGAAGACGGTAGTGGGACTTGCCCCCTGGGGCCGGTCAGCTCAATGACGATACCTCAAGAAAGAAAAAAAAAGATGCATGCCTCTCTTTGGTGAAGGGAGGTTCAGTGGAGGGAGGTAATGGCATGTTTGCCCCTTTGCCCTTTTGCCACCAGTACCTCGGCCTGCTTGAAAACAGAGTCGCTGCTTTGAAGGACTTTCGGAGGCCGGGGGCCAAGTCCCACTTACCCCAATTCTCAGCTTATGACCGTAAATTCCGAAGATCAACGGCCAGAAATGAAGAATCAGCGTAAGCGGGACTTGGCCCCGGGGGCGTGGTCCCACTAGCAAAGAGGATCGGATTGAGTGCCTGAATCTGGACGTGTTTGTAGAGAGGTGCAGGAAATCGAGATTGAACTGCTTTTCTGCATCTCTGCATAAAACACATCCAGATTCAGGCATTCTATCCGATCCTCTTTGCTAGTGGGACCTCAGCCCGGGGAGGGGAATGAGCACCCGGTCCCTGCCCTGAAAACAGAAAAAAAAAAGAAAAAAAAGGGGGGGGAAGTTGGGAAACCAAAAAATACACGACATTTTTCTACCAAAAAATAAATAAGAAAAGACAAGACGAGCGGGCCCCACAGAGAGACAGACACAGAGAGAGAGACAGAAACAGAGAGAGAGAGAGAGAGAGAGAGAGAGAGAGAGAGAGAGAGAGAGAGGGAGAGAGAGAGAGAGAGAGAGAGAGAGAGAGAGAGAGGATGAGAATGAATCTTCTGCCAGATAGAATAAAGATTTGTTCTCATTTTCTCACCATGTGCGTGTGTGGTAAGAATACAAGACCCCAGCAAAAAAGCTTCACACCAGATGACCTTCTCCAAAACAGCACATAGCAAGGCTATGTGCAGCAAAACATTAGTCCAAGACTGAGACTGGCATGCCAACGTACAAACGGACTTCAGACTTCAATGACACATCAAGGCAGACACTCGGATTGACGGTTGAGAGAGCAAGGGTGAGGCAAGAGGACAGAGAAACAACAGCAACAGCAAGGAACAAAGGCTGGAGGGTACAGGGGAGGCGGGTGGGCAGACAACCAGCACTAGGCAACAACTAGGTGGACAGGGCAGAGAAACGAGAAGAACACCAACAAGCCACAAAGCAACAGGGCACAACAACACACAAACACACAAACCACCAAGAAAAAAATGCAAAGACCGCAAAAAATAAAACTGATGATGAAAGATTGTTTCATCGGAGTTGCACCGACTCATCGGGAGGCTGAACCCTCGCAATCTGCAGGATCTCCGTATTTGATGGTTTGGGTCATGAACCCTCTGACCCACGGTGAAGGCACACTGTCCCCAAGCGGAACATAGCAGCGGGCAGCAACCCTGTGGAGCACCAGGCAACACAGTAGAGGCAACGTGGCTGTGCAACACCAAAAACGACTGCAAGGAATGACATGGCACGCAGGACATGCAGCGCGGCAACCGTGTAGCGAAGCACAAGACAACACAAGCAAGGCAACCACACTGCAAGGGAAGACAGGGTGAGCGGACCAGCAGCTTGGCAACTGTGGAGCAGAGCACAAGGCACCAGCAACAAGGCAACCAACCTACAAGGCACACAAGCAGCAAACATGGAAGGCACGGCCAGCGGATGGGCAGCAAGGCAGCATAGCAGCGAAGCGCAAGGCAACACCGACAACACAGCCACCCCAAACAGCGAACACAGCAACTTGCAGAGAACCACATGCGAAGCAAGCGGGACAGGCAGCAAGGCAGCAGTGGAGCGCAGCCGAGGCAGTCCACACATCCAACATGGAGCAAAGCAGTGCATGACCTACTCACATCACGATTGAACCCCGCAGATTGTTGGTTCCCACCACCCACTGAGCCAGGGAGTCACTCCGCCGAGCATCTGTCATCACCCACAGGCAACACAGACATCCCGAACTGAGCGGCCCCCATAAGAGTGCAGTAGACACTCCTTTTTTTTTTTTTTTTTTAATGGGAACAAGGCTCCAATCTATTCGTGGGGAGCAGCACGTGCTGGGAACCGGGCCCAGCGTCCCATAAGGAACTTTACATAGACTTTGAAAATTGATATACCGGGGCCATTACCCAACTTTGACTAAGAAAAATTGGAGCTACTTAGTAGGAAATTACTGCGACAAACTTCAGAAATAGACAAATCCAGAAAACGACTCAGGAACCCCCCCTCAATCCTCTTTACCTCACTCCGGCAAGACTTACTGCAGCAGAGTCACCATCTCTGCTGCTGCTATACCCTATTTCTATCCTACCAGCTAGCCCCTTCACTAGTAGGATGCGTGATATCCATTTCACACTCACCTCGATCCCCTTTTTTGCGATACCGGGGCCATTACCCGGCTTCGCCTGAGAAAATGTCTGAGAAAAATTACAGCGTACAAATGCTCCAAGACCCTCAAAATCCCTAACAAAACCTTCTCCTCCAACACTGTCTTACTCCCTGCCGAGCTCTTCCAGGCCTCACACCCCCGCATCCTGCTGGGTTACAGGGCAACACAACTGCAGCGGGCCTTCATCTGCCCTGGCCTACAGCCAGGGCCTATTTGGCTATTTGCCAGTTCGGCCTGTGGGACCAGGCCGTGGCCTGACCCCACAGGCCGTATATTGTTTCAGTCCAGTCCAGTCCCGCCCGGTACCACGGTCGGTACCAGGCCAGTCCAGTCCAGTCCAGTCAGTCCGCTGGGGGTATACCCCAGCTGCAGTCTGTTTTTCGTCATTCTTCAC